AGAAGTTTTAATTTGAAAATGGGCCATGAAGGTCCACGTTTTGATATAGCCCCATATAATAGCACCTCCCCATTTTCGGTATTTTGGTGATTTTAGCGACATTATTCACCTGAAATGTTTCAAATTTAGCATTTGAAGTTCGCAATGGATACTACAGCCTATGACAGAAAATTGTCTGTGGAGGTCCACGTTTTGATATAGCCTCCTATATAACTGTAACTCCCGATATTCGGTATTTTGATGATTTTAGCTAATCATCCGTTTCTTTTTTAAAGTTTCGCATTTGAATATTATAATGGCTTATGACAAAAGTTGCTTATGCAGGTCCACGTCGTCGTATAGGCCCTAATATAACAACTACATTCGGTATATTTAAGATTTTAACCGAATTTTTAACGCATTTTATTTTTTTTGAAATTGACCAAATTATTTCAAATTATGGAGGGTATTTTAAGTTCGGCACGGCATTTTTACTTTCTGTAGCTAGTTTTTTCTCTAAAATTGAAAATGCTGATTGTTTACGTACCTAAAATGGAAGTGAAAAAAGACACGAAACGTACTTGAGCTTTTTAAACCATCATCAAAAATAGCTAAAAATTCATCCTCACGTTAATTTGGCATTTTAGCAATTAATCAGAATCAACAAGTATTGCCAATCAAGACAAATAACGTGTTGCCAACTACTAACTTAAACCATAGTACTAAAAAAATACAACCGTTACTAAATGTTTGCAAGGACATTGGGGGAGAGAGAGAGGTCATATATGAGAGTAAGGACTTCCTTTTCATATGGGAATAAATTAAAATTGAAAACAAGTGATTAATTGCAGTAGAAAGACACAATTTTTCAAATTAACTTGACTTGAATATAAAAGAGATGACCTCCGCCTTGGAATTTTATAAAAAACCAAAAGTCCTGCATTCACCCAGTTTCGATGATGACGAGGACGATGGTTTGTTTGCCAACGACGAAGACGATGAATATTTGCAGGAAGTGCCTTATACGTCGTCGAGTAGCATTGACCGTGGTAGTATAGGTTCAATACCATGGAACGACGATGCAATTCGATTGAATCAACTGGAATGGGAAAAGGTGGAAAATATGTTAGCCGGCACAGAAGATTTACCAGCCGATGAGGATTTGCGAAAGGAAATTTTAGATTGGCAGAAAAAGTTTCCCAAGCTAATGGGACGCAAGGCGAGTGCATATCGAATAAAAGCCCTGAGTTCGGATACACTGGAATCGTTGCCAAGTTTGAATATAAGCAGTTCCGATGAGGGTGAAATGGATGATGATATTACACTTACCAGGGGTAGGCAAATAAAACATGAGGATTCCACAGGGGTGCAAGCGTTCCGACCAGCTTTTAGGAAAACCTCGGATGAGAGCAATGAAATTAACAGCCTGCTGAAAAACTTCACCTTGACCACAGTGCCTTTAAAGCTCAATAAAAGAGAAAATACACAAAATTCGGGAAATAAACGAAAATGTGCCACCAGCTCTTCATCATCGTTTTCACCGCAAACACCAACCAACGTTCCTATTGCCCAGCCAAAGACAAGCAGTCATCAGCAACGTTTGCGTATGCCTCCGATTTTAAATGTTTTAGAATCGACGCGGAAATTTCGTAACCTTGGTCGACACCAAGTCAATCCCAGCTTTGTGCAGCTAACCCATGTCCAACAAGCTAAATCTGCTGTCATTACACAAGATCAAAATGGAAGATCAAGATTCAATGCCGGTCATAGATCTGCGTGGCATGTCCCCTTGGCAGCCAATAGATTCTTCAACAATCGCAATTCAATTATTTTACCTTCAATTTCATCACGCCAGCAGATAATCCAACAATATAACTCACAACCCGTGACCATTTCGAATTCTAGCGATGTGAACACAACAACGCCATCCAGCACAAGGGAACACTTTAGACGAACACATGCCAATATGTATAAAACATATCAGTCAACGACAATAAAACGTGATAAATTCAATGATCCTTCGACAACAGCGTCGTCGACACAAACGACCAACAACAACACATCGAATTCGGGAAGATCGATCTCGGCGGCAGTACCAACATATCATCCGAGATCCACATTTAATGTGTTTTATTTACCGTATAGTGCCTCAAAATTCCATGCTTTTAAATAAATTTGATTTCCAATTTGTTTTTAATTTAGAAATAATACTATATATGAATGGATGTGAATACAATTATTTTTGTACAGTAAAATGTATTAAAAAAGAATTATTTAATAAAGACCAAAAGGATAGAGATTGAGAGAAAAAACGAAAAATAGTATCAGTCGGTTTTAGCGACATATGTATACCCCCCGCCTTGAGATATGATTATTCAAGCTGTTGACCCTTCCGAAGCAGTTGGCCAATATTGACCAATTCGTATCTGACCTAAGACTGATATAAATAGTATAACATGCCGGATTTGGACTGTTTCAACTACTTCCTATAATTTATATGAGATATGTGAACATTTTTGGAAAATGTGGAAATATGCACCTCACGCATATTACATATATACATATAGCGGATCGAAGTATTCCATTTTTATATCCTCCGCCATAGTATGGAGGGTATATTAAGTATGCTATTCCGTTTGTAACACCTCGAAATATTCAATTTAGACTCCACAAAGTATATATATTCTTGATCAGCATAAAATGTGGACTAAGCGATGTCCGTCCGTCTGTGTAAATCACTATGGCTTCTGAACGAAATGAATTAGGTTGATGAAACTTTACTCAAATGTATATTATGTCTGCAGGATTTTTGGTATTGAAAATGGGCCATGTAGGTCTTTGTTTCGTTGTAGCCCCCATATAATGGTACCTCCATATTTTCGGTATTTTGGTGATTTAAGCGACATTATTCACCAGAAATGTTTCAAATTTGGTATTTGAAGTTCGTAATGGATACTACAGCCTAAGACAGAAAATTGTCTGTGCAGGTCCACGTCTTCGTATAGCCCCAATATAACGGTACCTCCCGATATTTGGTATTTTGATGATTTTAGCTACATTATTTACCGATTTTTTTAGGTTTCGCTATTGAATATTGTAATGGCTTGTGACAAAAGTTGCCTATGCAGGTCTACGTCGTCGTGACCCGAATATAATGGCTACGTTCGATATTCGATTTTTAAAATTTTAACAGAATTTGTAACCCATTTTTTTAAACTTCGATCCTTCCCCTCCCCCACGGTACCAGAAGGAATGGCTCGATCTCTACCATCTTTATAACAGATCTTGTGATGATGGTAATATTGAGATATGCCAAGTCTGAAGGGTATCGGATGTTAATTTCGCGTTTTATGAGCTTCATTGATATTCAAAATTGTGACCCTTTGTGGGGGAGGTACCAGAAGGAGTTGACCGATACATTCCATCTTTACAGCTGATCTTGAGTTAGTAGAAATAACAAGATGTGTGTAATTTGAAGATTACCGGAAGCTTATTTCGGATTTTATGATAGTTTTGGTTATTCAAAACTTTGACCCTTTGTGGGGGAGATACCAGTAGGAATGGTCCGACCTCTACAATCTTTACAACAGATCTTGTGTTTAAGGAAATATTGAGATGTACCAAGTCTGAATTGAATCTGACGGAAAGTTCACGTTTTATGAGCTTCATGAATATTAAAAATGTTGACCCTTTGGGGGGGAGGTACCAGAAGGAGTGGACCGATATATTCAATCTTTACACCAGATCTTGGGTAAATAAAAATATTGTGATGTGTGTAATTTGAAGACAATCGGACAATTACATCACATTTTATAAGAGTTATAATTATTTAAAATTCTGACCCTTTGTGTGGGAGGTACATGATGGAGTAGACCGATATTGTCCATTTTCGCACCTAACTTAGCACTGATGCAAATATTTGGATTTGCAAAGTTGGAGCAAAATCGCATTATCTTTTCTCTTTCTGTGCAGTAAATTATTTTCTTCGATAATGTTGACATTTTGTGGGGGAGGTGTCACAAGGAGTGGACCAATATATTCCATCTTCACATCAGACCTTGGGTTAATAAAAATATTGTGATATGTGTAATTTAAAGAGAGCCGGGTTCTTTTTTTCGGATTTTATAGTCGTTTTTGTTATTCAATATTTTGACCCATTGTGCGGGAGGTACCACAAGGAATGGTCCGATCTCAACCATATTTATAACAAATCTTGTGTTGATGGAAATATTGAAATGTGGCAAGTCTGAATAAAATCGGATATTATTCACGTGTTTTATGAGCTTCATGAATATTCAAAATTTTGGCATCTTGTGGGGTGGTACTAGAAGAAGTAAACTGATATATCCCATATCCACACCAGACCTAGGGTTAATAAAAATATTGTGTGTAATTTGAAGACAATCGGACACTTACATCATATTTTATAAGAGTTATAATTATTCAAAATTCAAATGGAGTGGTCCGATATTTTCCATTTTTGCACCTGACTTAGAAATGATGGGAATACTAGGATTTGCAAAGTTGGAGCAACATCGGATAATCCTTTCTCTCTCTCTCTCTCTCTCTTGGTGCAGTTAATTATTATCTTTGAAAATGTTGACAATTTGTGGAGGAGGTTCCAGAAGGGTTGGACCGATATTGCCCATCTCCGAAGTCGATCTAAGTTTGACAATGATATTATGATGTACCAAGTTTGTATCAAATCGGATACTCGCTTCGACAGTTATCGTGCACACCAGCCAGCCAGACAGAAGGACGGACATCGCTAGATCGACTCCAAATGTCCAGAAACGGATTTGGTCCTATGGTCTAAAACCGTTATTTCGATGAGTGTATAAAAACAGATGTAAGGCTAAAATGCTATGCCGGTAGCTTTGGTTATTCCTGGAGATTTTATGAACATTATTCTAGAAATAATTTCGCATAATTGCTGTGCAGGAATGCCCAATCTTGAACCTCTTTCCTTTATGATATATCCATACACATCTGGCTTTTTTCATTACAAACACATAAAAAAATCCATTTTAACAATAACTTATTGGTTTTTTCCTTCCTTCTTTTATTCTTAAATAATGACTCGGTCAACTTACGTCTATATATTAAAATTATCCAAGCGTAATCTACCCTCATTCTCTGTTAAATATAATAAATCAGACAGGGACTGTTCACAAATAAGTTCCTCAACTCGTTCATACATCTGGAAAGGGAGAATAAATCATTTTTTTTATCTGACAACCTTTATCAATAAATCTATTCCCAACTTACCCCTTTGGCTTTGCAATTGCTTAGTACCTCGGGATATTTAAAGCTTGGTCCAAAATTAACACTAACTGTTGCACTCTTGTGTATTGATATTGTGGGATAGTATGAGCCAGCATAGATATCACTAAATGCCACACCTTGAGATTGACCATTTTTGAAGAATTCGATTTTACTGCCGGGAGCTACGCGTAAACCTTTTAGCGTTTCCTGGATTTTATCCTTATCCTCGTAGTATAAATGTGATTTAAATTTCACCAAAGGCTGTAAAGGCAAACAAAAAAAAAACAATATTAATTATTTATAAAAAAATTGATCTGTTTCAGAACGGCAAGAATGTAAAAGTTTTCACTACGATAGTTGATTTTCAGTTTATGATATCGAAAAAAAAATTGCAAAACTAGGGTTCTGGAACAGAGCACATAAATTATTATAAAAAAAATCGAAATTACCCTATCCTTAAATGTATTTGGTAAATAATCCACTTCTCTTTCCTCCGGAAGATCAATTAAAAATCCCAAGGTATCTCCTTCGACATAGGCCTCACTGTAATGCTTGCCATGACTTTCGCTGAAACGTGTTCCCTTGCGTGATCGCCATGAGTAGCCGAATTTGTCATAGCCCAATGGAGCTTGTAGGTTGCCATATTCTTGGCCCCAACCCATGCGTGTTGCCGATCCCTCGGGCATTTCTTCTATTGTTACCTCGTAATACCATCGGCCACGATTGACAGCTGAAAATAAGAAAAGGAAGATCATGTTTCACTTAAAAGATGTGAAATTTAGGAAAATTAAAGTATTTTTGTTTGGTTTTCAAAAGTTTTTGTTAATATGGACCTTATTTTTATACTCTACACCACATAGTGGTAAGGGTATTATGTCTTTGAGCATTTGTTTTTAACATGGAGAAGAAAGCGAGATAGACCCATAGTTACTTTTGAGGAACTTCACAGATTCACTTTCTGGGTCGATTTATGCATGTCAGCCCGTCCGTCTGTCCATGTATTTTTGTGAAAAAAAAAAACGCAGATCGCATTTATTATCCGATTGAGATGAAAGTTTCCAAACAATATTTGTTTGGCCCAAGGACGAAACCTATTGAAATTGGTGATAATCGGATCTGATTTAGATAAAGCTCCCATGTACAGGGTGAGATGAAACAACTGCAACCAACTTCAGACTGCTTTCATTTCTAAGCCACTCGTCCGACATCTGTTAAAATTATTTCAGCGACAAGTCATTATATTGTTTACAAACGTACAAAAGCATTTTGGTGGGAATTTTCTAGAAAAAAAAGTTAGCTCTCCGCTCCGTGGTATCAGAATAAATGACGAATATTATCGGGAATCTGAAGGGTGAATCAAAGCCTTGAGCAAGCAAACATTTTGGCCGCAGACCTTGGACGTTCCAACAGGACTCAATTCGGGTTAATTGTGCACCAAATGACCAATATAATTTCAAATGACCTGAATTTTGACACATCCAACCGAATTTAGTTTAGAAGCATGTACATCAAATTTGGAGAAAATCGGTTCGGATATAGCTATAGTTTCATCCGATATGGCATTTAAGTCCCTCACATTGGTAATAACCATTCGACAACAATGATATCTGGTATAAGATATCTTATATAGCTCGAAAATACCTCTGCCAAATTTTATCGAGATCGGTTCAGATTTGGATATAGCTCCCATATATATCTTCATCCGATTTCGTGTTAATTGTGCACCAAATAGCCAATATCACCCTAAAAGTCCTGAATCTTGGTACATCCGACCGAATTCAGTCTAGAAGCAGGTACATCAAATTTGGAGAAAATCGGTTCAGATATAGTTATATCTCCCATATATATGTTTCGTCCGATTTGGTGTTTAAGTTCCTTAAATTCGTAATAACCATTCGACAACAATGATATTTGGTATTAGATATCTTATAGAGCTCGGAAATGCCTATGCCAAATTTTATCAAGATCGGTTCAGATTTGGATATAGCTCCCATATATATCTTCAACCGATTTTGGGTTAATTGTGCACCAAATGGCCAATATCTGCCAAAAATGGATGAATGAATTTTGGTTCATCCGATAAATATTTTTAATGTAATCCTTCCCGAATTGTTATCATGCACTCTATAGCAATGTTAGTTGGCATAAAAGATTAAAATGTCTCCGTCAAATTAAGTGAAAATCAATTCAGAATTGGATATGCCTCCCATATATTAGTTCCCTCTGAAACCAAACTATAACTGCTCTAAAGCCAAATGTTGATAGGTGGTATGATCTACTTCAAATAAATTCTTTTGTTACGGTAGCTCTACTAAATATGCATTGTGGTGTAGAGTATCATATAGTCGGCCCGACAAACTTCGACTCTTCCTTTCCTTCTTGACAACTACCTATTTCCACCAGTAGCACGCTGAAATGATAATCTTTGATAGATTTCATTTTCCATATCTTATGCAATGATAAGGTTAATTTCAGATCTTTGTAGAGCATAGAGTTGCATAGAAACCGGAAAATAAACAGATACCAGTGACAATACTAAATCCCAAAAGTAGTTGCTAAACTAAATTAGTTTCAGCCTTTATCTCATTCCTACCCGTTTGTAGTCTTGTGTAGCTATCAGCTGATTAATTTATTGACTGTGATTATTGCTTTTTTCTTTGTTTTTGTTTTTGTATTTCCCATAAGTATTTGTCGATACTTACAATGTGTTGCCCTCACCATGCAATAACCCTTTTCACCAGTTACAGCCAATCGATCTTCGGATATTTTCAATTGTGGGGCACGATCATGCAGCGCCAGTAGGACACTGTTCGGTACTAATGTACGATACAGCCAACCCGGTATGGGTTTGCCAGCCCAATCGGATGACTCATCGAATTCCTGACGAAACGGAGCATGGGGATCTGGTTCAGCAAGTATATAACGATAGCCATCTTTATTGAATGGATGCTCCAGCGGATAACCATGGGCGGGTAATTTGACGTTGGCGGTAATATCTGAACTGGGGCGACCTTTTTTGCCTGTCGGACCAGAATCGGTGCCGGGGAATTTCCGTTTATTCTGGCGATTGTTCTTCGAGAGGGAAGCTAAAAAAACAAAAACAACGTATAAGCATATCATTAAATAAATGTCTACGTGTCAAGAGAGGCATTGCTATGGCTATGGAGTGGCCCCAGCATAAAAATCCCAGCAACACCCCATTTCTTTTTTTTTCTGCGTTTGTTTTGTTTAAATTGCTATGCCTAGCTATTACGTACGTTCCTCCTCACGGGTCACTGCAATATCCATGTTGATTTTGTGTTTTGCGTCTTAATTTCTTGGAGGGGGAGGTTTTTTTTGATCAGGTACAAATGGTATTTTCAAAAAAGCAAAAAAAATCAGATCTAAAGTTGGATTAATCACATCATTTGCTGCTCGACAAAATGGAAAGGCCACTAGAACAAATTCAGCAAATCGCAATGAACGATACGACAGGCAGCCAGTACTAGCAGCAGCAGCTTTTCGAGTCGTCACAAAGCACAGAACAACAACTACAGCACCGCGAATTTTTAAAGTATTTTCAAGATAAATTCCACAGCAACACCACCATTAGCGTACAACACCAACTGCGATGAGTGCATGTCAGTGACGACAGCACACCAACCAACAACAATAACAAAACAATAACTGTTTGAAACGACCTACGATGACATGCTACTGCTCCATCTCTCCACCCCAAAATGCAAAGCAACAGAGAAGAAATTCACAATCGTTGTGACACGAATCCGAGAACTTCAAGTGGTCCGTGGAAATATTGGAAAATTTGTGACTGCAACTTTAGGACTATCCCCCGATGTAGTTGGTGCGAAGAAATTTTTGACAATTTTTAATAGCTGTATGGTTTAATCTCCGGGAAGTAGTTAGGAGGTTTGTGTGTACATCACTTTGTGGCCAAGCAAGGCAGGCAGGCAGGCAAACAACCAACAAAACAAAAAACGAAACCGCAAATGAAAATAACAATTAATATTTGTAAAACAAACAAACACAATACAATACAACATTAACTACATGTGTATGAGGCGAACGGAAAGATAGAGAGATCGCTGGTGGCAGCGGAGAAGGAGGTGGAGATGGAGGCGGGCGCGGTACGATACTCTACTATCGAATCGAATATAAAACAACAAAAAAATTTGCCAACTAAATTATATGGTGTCAAACAGTCAGCCAGCAAAACAAAAAAAACACAACAGCAGCGGCACCAGCAACAATGAGTGACGGACGGCAGCTATGCCATAGAATGGCAAAGCAAAACACAATAGAGGAGCTGCCGTTGGGGCTATCAAACCCCAAGAAATCAAAATCAAAACAGCAAACACAAAATACATTCGCAACTGCGTCGTAACCGAGAAGCTACGTCATTAAAGTATGCAAGTATGGCTGGTTGTCGTCAGATACAAAATTTCTCAGTTTAGTTTGGTGTTTGCTGTCCGGTAGGGGGGTTTGTTGTTCTGCGTTAACTGCGTTCCAAGTAAGCAGCAGATAATGGCAATCTAAAGTATTCGTTTGTTGAGCTCACACAATTGGCGAAATAAGTTGGTTTGTTTGGAGGGCTATAACTTCACAATTTGAGCTAGAGCTAATCTAGAGATATTATGAAAATTTCGAAACATATAAGAAATAAGTGTAAAAAGAAGTGTATCCCCACTCAAAACCCGATAGTGACATCATATTATTTATTGTTTCAGATAACAAGAGGTATTTCCCCTATTTTAATTAGAGTCACGTAGACATGAAGCAGAAGAAAAAGTATCTACTACTCACACACAACAAACTCACAAACACACAAAACAAGTAATCGGTTTGGCCAACAGATTTATACCCCCAGCCTTAAGTTATGATTATTCAAAGTGTTTACCCTTTATGGGGGAGGTTCTGAAGAAGTTGGCCAATATTGACAATTTCGTGTCTGACCTATGACTGATTTATATATTACAACGTGCCACATTTGGACTACTTCCTGTACTTTATATGAGATATGTGCAGATTTTTTAGAAAATGTGGAAATATGCGTGAAGTAACAATAGGTGATCGAAGAACATCTAACATTTATATCCACTTTTATGCGAAATTGTAAATTCCGATCAATTATATATTCATATCAGATTTCTGGTTAAGAGAAATATTTGGATATAGCATGTTGTAAAGAATCGCCGACTTGTTTAGGATGTTATGACAGATATAAGCATTGGAAATGTTGACCCTTTGGGTGAGGTACCAGGTATCAGTTTCACAACAGATCTTGCTTGGATTGGTGAAATTTGAAGAGAGTTGGATGCTTACTTTGCATTCTTTGAGCCTTTTTTCTTTCAAAATCGTGAACTCCATGTGGAGAAGGTACCAGAAGAAATGGTCCGATCTCTACCATCTTTATAACAGATCTCGTGCTTATGGAAATATTGAGATGTACCAAGTCTAAATGGAATCAGATGTTAATGAGCTTCATGGCTCTTCAAAATTTTTGAACCTTTGTGGGGGCGGTACCAGAAGGAGGCGTCCGATATATTCCATCTTCGCAGCAGATCTTATGTTAGTAGAAATAATGGTATGAGTGAAATATGAAGACACTCGGATGCTTATTTCGGATTTTATAATCGTTTTGGTTATTCAAAATTTTGACCCTTTGTGGGGGAGGTTCCAGAAGGAATGACCCGATCTCTACTATCTTCACAACAGGTCTTGAGTTGATGGAAATATTGAGATATACCAAGTTTGAATGGAATCGGATGTTATTTTCGCGTTTTATGAGCTTCATGAATATTCAAAACTGTGACCCTTTGTGAGGGAAGGAGTGGTCCGCTATATTCCATCTTCACAGCAGATCTTATGTGAGTAGAAATAATGGTATGAGTGAAATATGAAGAGACTCGGATGCTTATTTCGGAGTTTATGATCGTTTTGTTTTGACCCTTTGAGGGGGAAGTACCAGAAGAAATGGTCCGATTTCTACCATCTTTATAACAAATCTTGTGTTGATGAGATGTGTCAAGTCTGAATGGAATCGGATGTTAATTTCCTGTATTATGAGCTCCATGGTTTCTCAAAATTTTGACCCTTTGTGGGGGAGGTACCAGAAGGAGTGGACCGATATATCTCATTTTCACTCATTTTTTTGACACTCCAGACCTTGGTTTTATAAAAATATTGTGATGTGTGTAATTGAAGAGAATAAGATGCTTATTTCGGATTTTATGATCGTTTGGGTTGTTCAAAACTTTAACCCTTTGTGGGGGAAGGGTTTGTCTGATCTCTACCATTTTTATAACAGATCTTGTGTTGGTGGAAATATTGAGATGTGTCAAGTCTGCACGGAATCGGATGTTAATTTCGTGTTTTATGAGCTTCATGAATATACAAAATTGTTACCCTTCGTGAGGGAGGTACCAGAAGGAGTGGACCGATATACTCCATCATCACACCAGACCTTGGGTCAATAAAAATATTGTGATGTGTGTAATTTGAAGACAATCGGACTTTTACATCACAATTTATAAGAACTATTATTATTCAAAATGTTGACCCTTTGTGGGGGAAGTACTGGATGGAGTGGACCGATATTGTCCATTTTCGCACCCGACCTAGCACTGATGTAAATATTAGGATTTGCAAAGTTAAAGCAAAATCGGATTATCCTTCCTCTTTCTGTGCTGTAAATTATTTTCTTTTGAAAATGTTGACATTTTGTGGCGGATGTACCAGAAGGAATGGACTGATATTGCCCATCTCCGAACTCGATCTAAGTTTGAGAATAATATTACGATGTGCCAAGTTTGGACCAAATCCGATACTCACTTCGAGAGTTATCATGTACACCAGCCATACAGACAGACGGATGGACGGACGGACATCGCTAGATCAACTCCAAATGTCTTGAAACGGATTTGGTCCAAAGAGACCTAGGGTCTAAAACCATGATTTCGATGAGGCACGTTTTGGTCGTATCAAATGATATATACCCTCTCTAGCCATATGGCTGAGGGTGTAAGAATACATAGAATCGGTGAAAATAGTTCTTTGTCGGATGACGTCGTGATAAACCGAGAAGAAACCATGTCCGACTTTTTTCGACCTCGGCACGCACCAAAAGAATCCGGAGCAGGCATTCTGGAATATGCTGCTTCCAAAGCAGAACACTACTGAAACTGAGATGCTGTATTTTTCGATCAATCCAATAACGAACATATGACTCGATTGGAAGTTATGATCGAAACATACGAAATACAAAGGTTAGGGGCTACCGGAATATCGACAGAGTTGCCAAAGTTTTACATAGCATTATTTGGGATTCAAGAGCGTAAAAAAATTTGTCTCTATTTCCTTCTTTGTTTTGCAGTGAAACCATCCACTCAAGGATTTTATGCGGTAACGGACAGAATGCTTTGTAAAACTAGTCTCGAAACTGATATTGAATATAAATGTGCATATCCTAATCCTGGACATACCAAAAAATCTGAGTATCAATTACATTGACGTAACGAAACCTGATTGGGAAGCTTTGGTTGGTGGCGAAACTACTCTCGACGGTCCGGCCATAAACACACTCGTGTCCAAGATGGATGAAGGCACTGTGTTGACGTATTCTGCCCTAATCCAATAATAAGACTTTCATATAAACTCAATGACAATAGAAGCGCTTTTCAGTCGGAGATACTTGCAATTCAGAAGGTTAGCTACGGTAGGGTAAGAGTAGCTTGTAGTTGTTGTTGCAACAGCAACTACAAGTTTTGTTTGATTTCTGCTAGTCCGATTTTAACCCCAGATGCAATAATTCGGCTACTTTCGTGGGCTGTAACCAAAGATCTTCTGGAGTGAGTGGGGTAGGTTTGGCAAGGCAATTGAAGAAGTGTGCGGGTCTATGTCTCATGCCGGGCAAACTTTTCGCACATCTTCGTCAATTCGTCTTCAATACGACTGCATCATCCTGAACGTAATTACCCCAAAACTACCCTGGTTTATCTAGGCAGGCAACGTTCTCAATAGAGGGGGTGGACTACGAGGACGACATTCATACTGTAATTATTGATGGTATTTGTGACCGCATCAGTATTAATGCCAGTCAGACTTGCCTGAAAGGCTCTCTCTTTTGACGTGGACTCCCTCATATATTGGGTCATCTGGCCGATAATCTTCAGAAGAATATGCCTTCTTCTATCAATCAGTAGGTCTGTTTTACGCATTTCGATAGACTGGTCATAGCTGCATCTGACTCGAAATGGGATAACAACCCATGTGTCATAGGATCAACTTTTGTAAACAATTTCAAAATTATTCGAGACCGGCCGATCACTAAATTTGACTTGTTCATAGCTTTGCATTTTTTTTCGATATCATAAAGGGAAAATCTGTTTATCGTATTAAAAAGTTGCACATTCTTGCAGTTCTGGAAAATACTAAGTATATGTTAAAACATTTAAAACTCACCTTGTGCATAACCATCTTCGGTTAACCTCAATGCACCCATTTTTGTCATTGCCTCATAATTTGGTTTGATTTGTGACAAATCCGGCATCATCAGACCAAACATGGCGCCATGCTCGGGATGTTCCTCGTAGGTGAAGGTAATTTGAACATCTTTTAGTAAGGAACGTTGTACCGTTGAATACCACGACTGGGTAACTCTACGCGGCATTGTAGTCATTGATTCCCAATACTGTTCCAAAAAGGGTATTATTTCTTTGTCTTTGCTGAATAGGTTTTTCGGTTTGCCTTCTTTGCTGCTGTTGTTACGCATATTGGCAATGGCAGTGATGCACATTTGGGGTATGGCTATGAAAAAAGTAACAAAAATATAATTTAATTAACATCGTTAACGTTGTATTACATTTAACTGCATCTTACTGGCTTGGGATCTACGAAAATTTTCCAAACCACTCGGTGAACAGTTTTTGCAAACAAACACATAGTTTGTTATGAACGGTACCAGCTTCCCCAACTGGTAGCCAATGCATGACTCGTGGAACCAACGACTGCAGTAGGCACATAATAGTTCCACAATATTCAGATTACGTTCCTTGCCACTGAAAAATGCAACAAAATTAAAAACCAAATGCCTCAAATGTTTGTCTGTTTACAAATGTTTAATGTTTTGTTTACCAATAACAATTGCCGGCTTTCTCTTCAGTTCTCTTCTCACTTCCTCCAACAACCCCACTTCCAGCAGTGCCATCACTTCCCTCAATTTGAGCGTTGTTCTCAACTTGCATTTCATCCATAGCTCGTGTCAAATTTAGATTTTCGTTGTTGGTTATTTTATAAAGTCGCTAAATGGTTTCGTAAATTGTAATTTTTATCTAATTAAATAGCTGCCTTGCAAACAAAATTCCCACTCACGCCAAAC